TATCTATCTATTTATCTATCTATCATCTATCTATCTATCTATCTATCTATCTATCTATCTATCTATCTATCTATCATCTATCTATCAATCATCTATCTACCTATCTATCTATCTATCTAGCCTTTGTAGTTGCCACTCTAAGTATAACACGTCTTCTATTGCTTGTCTGTCCACTCCCACTCCACTAGAAAGTGCACTTTTATTGACAGGGATATGTTTGTTCATTGATATATCCTAAGAACTCGGGAAAATAGCAGATAGTAATTAGGTGCTATAAATATATGTTCAATAAGTCAGTGAATGTATTTTTTTTTGAGACAGAAGCTCAACCATGTAACCCAGGCCAGGCTCAAAATTTTGACAGTCCTCCTCCTTCCCAAGCCTCCTAAATGGTGAGATTATTGTGTAAGCTACCACACTTGACTTGAATGTGTTGGTGTTGTTAAACTGGAGATAGTTAATTTTAATTAAATTTTTTTTAAAAAATCACTAAAATTTTTAATAAAAGATAAATACCATATGGTTTTGATACTAGAAGGAATTTGTAGTACTGAATTTTAATAGATTTTTTCTCCATTTTTCAAGGTTTCAAAATATTCCTTACAGAAGAAAGTGTGTGAAATGGTAAGAAAATTACATAATATTTATTTTTACCACATGAATTAGTACAGAAGATATATAGTAATATTATGAATATAAATGTCACATTTATAGTAAAAAAATCCAGAAATAGTTGAAACTGGATATTGTTATTCTGTTTAAAGTCCTGTCCTAATTTCAAATACATTATAGCTTATATCAATTTCACAAATTTATTTGCAGATTATGCAGTACTTATATATTATAAAATAAAGTATGTGATAGTAATCCTTTATTGTTTTATATTTAGCATATGGTATTTGTTATTGTCCATCAAGTATCCATTTGTTAATTTCTAACCATATGCATATAAAATTAGTATTTTATTTTAGTGGCATAACATTTTATAGGATTCTTACTTTGATAGTCTCCCTTTATAAATATATGTATAGCTGTATTTGGTTCAATAGGACTTTTTTCTGTGGTTTGGTTAAACAAATTCTCCACTATATTTACTTAAACATCCAGAAGGCTTATGCTATTTCAATCTTCATTCTTTAGAATAGACTATGGAGCAAGTAAAATTAAAATTTGAGTATATTTTATATATTGTATATAAATATAAGAAATGAAGATCACTGCTTATAACATGTAACATAAAACATTAAGTAATTTGCTTCTTGAAATTGTTTTGTGTGCTAAAAAAATAAAAGCTCATAGAAAGATTGTTAAGCTTGATTGAATAAAAGATGTGAAAATTCTGCTGCTGTTCAACTGGAAAGAATAAAGATAATATTGTCAGACTATTTTAAACTGTGATTTTAATTAAGAATCTGAAAAATGAGATTCCAGTTTGGCTGTAAGTACCATGACATTTGTACTGAAAGTCATCTTCAATGCTACAGTGGTTTTACACAAAATACAGTGAAATAGAATAATGTGCCCTTCAACCTGGGAGATAAGGCTACAAGCTAAAGATCAAAGGCAACATAAATGTATTTTAGTCCAGTTTAAAATTTCATTAAACAGATACTTACAACCTTAAAAAACATGGAAATATTTTCCAAGCTTTTTGTTAGTGTGAATTTAAAATCATTTTTATTCTAATAGTTGAAAACACTGCCACTTTTCATTAAAATAATTTTATATATTAACTATATTCAATAATTATGTCATTGTGAGGAAATATTTTTATTAGAAATTAAAAATACTATTCTTACATATATTTTCTTTCAATTATTCATTTTTATTATTCTTACATAATTCATATGACCTTTTCTTTAGTCAAAGTTAATCATATTTTATTAAAGAAATACATTATCTTTTGGGGGATGGAGAGATGGCTCAGCAGTAAAGAGCACTGACTGCTCTTGCAGAGGACCCAGGTTCAATTTCCAGCATCCACATGGCAGCTAATAACCATCCATAACTCCATTTTCAGGGGATCTGACACCCTCTTCTGACCTCCAAAGGCATTGCATGATTTGAGGGCACTTACACACATGCAGGCAATACACTCATACACATAAAAATAAATATATAAAATATATAAAAAAGAAATACATTATCTTTTATAATGTTCAGTTCTATGGGCTAGCCAAGAGACAAGATAGCCATGACAGCCAGGCAGAGTTTGTAAAGTTCCTAAAAGAAATTCTTTAAGTCTACAGCCATACCATCCTGAACATGCCTGATCCTGTCTGATCTCAAAAGCTAAGCTGGGTCTGGCATGATTAGTACTTGGATGGGAGAAATTATTTAAAAGGTAGTATTAAGAAACTTTAAAGAAGTCCATCATCTCCTGTAGGTGAACACTTAACTACTAGTAAGTTTCTATCTATAGGGAATTCAAGAAGGTGGTTATTTTATAGAGGTGCAGACATGTCACTATATAAATTAAGACATCATGAATAAAATGATTTTTTTCTGTCTACCAAACTACTCAAATTCTTACCTTGAAAAAAATGATGATTATTACCAATAAAAAGAATGTAAAAAATACATTAAAGAGAAAGTTGGAGCAGTAAATTAGCCATTACTATGATTTGGTCACTGAGGAAAATGCTGTTGTATATAGTGGTTACTATATAGCCCATATTTTGTATAATTGAAGCTATAGATGACTGTGTCATTTAACTGTAGCCTACTGTTTGCTTAATGAAGTGAAATGATCTTTAAAATTTATTATTTTTTTTGTATATCACTTTCCTTTAAGAAAAGACTTATGCAGGAGGTGGTGATGCATGCCTTTATTTTCAGGCAGAGGCAGGCAGATCTCTATGAGTTCAAGGCCAGCTGGGACTGCCTGTCTCAAAAAGACAAAAAAAAAAAAAAAGGTTTCAATATTTCAGGTTTTTATATGATTCAGAATTAACCATGTATTTTCATTCAGAATAAAATGTTTTTAAAGACTTGTTTAGAAATACTAATTTCCATTATTATGAGTATTATTTGTAACTGTAACATGCATTAGTATTGTAATTTTAGATTTTGTATGTAGTATATGCCTAATATTTGTGGTAGAGATAGGAAGGATTCCACTGGTTTTTACAAATTGAATTTTGAAATATATATTTTAAATAAATATATGTAAATTAAAAATGTATAGCAGGCCTCAAACTCACAGTCCTCTGCCTGCTTCCCCCTCCTTAGTGCTGAGATTAAAGGCATGTGCCACCACACCCAGTTTACAAATTACAGCTCTTGATTAGTTGAAGAAGTTAAAAGGTAAATTTCAAAGCTGGAATTTAAGAATATCTGGTTTATTCCAGTATTAAAAAAGATTTATTTATATTTTATGTGTATGTTTTGCCTGCATGTATGTATGTGCACCATGCACCTGCCTGATGCCTGCAGAGGCCAGAAGAGGGCATCAGACCCTTGAAACTGGAATTATAGACAGTTGTGAGTTGCCATGTGGGTGCTGGGAACCAAACCTGGGTCCTCTGCAAGAGCAGTAAATACTCTTAATTGCTGAGCCATCTCTCCTGCCCCTTATCTCAGGACTTTTATCTTTTTTCTCTAAAATGTATCTATAACTGTTTCAAAAAAATTAATTTTGTTTCCAAAAGCTTTCAAATTAGTCACTTTAAATAGGAAAAGGGAGGAGTGCACAGCTATGTCTTTTATTAGTAAATGCATCTCTAAAACTTTGTAAATATTATTATTATTATTATTATTATTGTCTTTTTGAGACAGAGTCTCCCTCTAGCCCCAGCTGTCCTGGAACTCACTATGTAGACCAGGCTGGCCTCAAACTCCCAAAGATCGGCCTGCCTCTGCCTCCCAAGTGCTGGGATTAAAGGTGTGTGCCACCACACCCGGATGTAAATATTATTTTTAAGTTATTTCTGGAGCTGGAGAGATGGCTCATTAGTTAAGGGCATTGGCTCCTCTTGCACAGAACCAAGGTTCAGTTCCTAGCACCCACATGGTGATGAACAACCATCCTTCACTTTAGGGCCAGGGGATCAAACATCCTCTTCTGGCCTCCACACACATTGTAGGACATAGGAGCACTTAAGTCAGGAGGGCTAAACACACACACACACACACACACACACAGAGAGAGAGAGAGAGAGAGAGAGAGAGAGAGAGAGAGAGAGAGAGAATAAAAGTATTTCCACTTTAAGGGTAGGTATGGTGGTGCATCCCTTAGCACTGGAGAGGCAGAGGCAGGTGCAGCTCTGTGAATTCAAGGACAGCCTGGTCTACATAGCAAGTTCCAGGCCAGCCAGGCGTATATAATGGGACCCTGTCTCAAACAGACAGACAGACCAAAGAAAGAGTTATTTCCACTTTAATTGTCCCATGGCTATAAAATAAAATTTAAAACTATACCCACATATATACATGTGGTTATGCATGCTGTGTGCTTTCATGTAAGTTTGTAAAATGAGGTACATATATTAGAAAGCAGTACAGTCCAAAATTTTCTTGTTGACTAAATCTTGTATTTGGTAATAAAATTTTGAAAAAAAGGGAATAGATTCACAGAAGTAAAAAGAACAAAAAAAATATATACTTACCGTTAATTAGTTCAATAACAATTTTTATTACTGTTATAATATAGTATGCAATATTAAAATTTTAGTAATAATAGCAATGACAATTCATTTTTAAAGATTTATTTTTAATTATTTGTATATGTGTGTCTGTGTATGTGTACATGAGTGCAGGTGCCTGAGGAGGACAGAAGGGTGGTGGATTCTTTGGAGCTGGAGTTACGGGCAGTTGTGAGCTTCCCAGTATGGGTGCTGGGAACTGAACTTGGGTCTCTGCTTTAGCAGTGTGTGCTCTTTACCACTGAGCCATCTCTCCAGCCCTCATTTGTCATTCTTTAAAATGTTCTTAGGTATCTCAGGCAGTTACTACTACTTTTTGTTGTCGTGTTTTGGAGAATTTCATTGGTGTTAATGCCAAACTTGACAACTGACTTCTTCATGTTATTATCAGAATAAAACCAGGACAGTCATGTAGGCTCAAATTTGCATATATGATAGAGAGCTGTGCCGCTCAAGCAGTTTGGAAGTCTTAATAGTATTTATCATGGTCATTGAAAGGTGTCATATAAACAAATTGTGTCATATAAACAAATGAAACTGAATTTTCATTGAATTCAACTCTGGTTTCCTTGGGAGACCCTGCTGCTAAGGTTATAGTCCTCCATGTCCGGATAGCTCTAAGGGGCTTGGCGCTATATGGAAGGACTCCCTTCCTCAGCAGGGACATCCTGCTCTCTGCCTGACTTACCTGGAAAGTGCCGCCAAGCATGGATGCCTGACCTTATTTGGAACATGACCTTTGGCATAGTTACCTGCAATAAAACTACCCCCAGGTTTTTTCTATATGATGATTAGGCATTGCCCTATAGACATAGGATCCCCCTACCACATGTAAATAAAGCATACTATGAGCACCTATCAGCTGAAGCTTTGGCTGCTGCCTCCACACTATATTTTCCCTGACCCCCACTGAATAAACAGAGCTGTATCACTGAATATGACTCCCCGGAAAGTCTTTTCTGTCATGCTCACTGGCTGTCC